AAGGGTCTATTCAAGTCTTATATCCATTTTAAAATCCGGTTATGTTCGTTTTTGCTATTGAATTGTAGGAGTTCATTTTATATTTTATACATTAACCCCTTATCAGATATGTGCTTTGCATGTATTTTCTCCCATTCCAGAGATTGCCTTTTCATTCTTTTGATTGTTTCCTTTGCTATGCAGAAGGTTTTTAGTTTGATGTAGTCCCACTTGTCTACTTTCACGTTTGTTAATTGTGCCTTTGGTGTCATATCCAAGAAATCACTGCCAAGACCAACGTAAAGAAGTTTTTCCCTTATGTTTTCTTCTAGGAGTTTTATGGTTTCAGGTTTTATATTTAAGTCTTGAATCCATTTGTATTTATTTTTGTGAATGGTGTAAGACAGCATCTAATTTCATTCTTTAGCATGCTCAGGACTTTATGCTTAGTGAAATAAGCGAGTCACAGGTCAGAAGTGGCATGATTCTACTTAAATGAGGTTCCTAACTAGTCAAATTCACAGAAGCAGAGATTAGAATGGTGATTACCAGGGGCCAGGGGAAGGGGTAAATGGAGAGTTGTTCAATGGGGCTACAGTTTCATTTATGCAAGGTAAATTAGTCCTAGAGATCTGCTGTACAGCATAGTGCCTAAAATCAACAATAGTGTATTATATACCTAAAAGTTTGCTAAGAGGGTAGATCTCATGATACCACACGCACACATGTGCACACACACACACACACACACACACACACAAATCATAATAAAATAAAAAAGAGAGAAGGAAACTTTTGGAGGCGGCAGATATCATGTCTCCCAGTTTGCCAATAGATGTTAAGGCCAGTCTTCCAAACCCTTTATGTTTGCAACTATCAAGGCTGACAAAGAGTATATTTCATATATTTTCTCCCTCACCACTGTTGAATTACCCAAAACTCACTGTACTCTTTGGCCTTAAAACTCCCATTGAAACAGAAATTACAGTTGTCACCTGATCAGTCTGGGTCCAATAAGGAGACAGAAACCACACAGTGATTTAAATGGAAATTTAATTTACAAATGATTAAACTTTTAAAAAAGTAACTATACAATATTTTTAAACTTTATGTGGTACAATACTGAGGGTATCGAAGGAAAGACAAACTTCAGCAAACCTCAGACTTTATGAAGAAAAGGTAACTGTAGCCCACTGGATGGCAGAGAAGTTTTCTGTTTTGCCTGGGTCAGTGGTGCTCCCTGGTTGCTGGTCAAGTTGGAAGCAACATTCTAGGGTGTGAGTGGTTTGTAGGTGAGTTGCAACTGGTGGTTGAATGCATGGGCATGCAGAACAAGGAAGGGTGCAGATGGCATCCATTTGGGGAACAGATGAGTCATAGCCAGTGGCCACGTTCATGGACGGACATAGGGAGTGGGTGTGCCTGTTTCAGTAGAAGGCCTGGAATGTGCAGGGTCCACATCCAGAGGTCCATGGGAATGTGATCAATGGCCTAGAGTTGCAAGATCAGCATGGGACTGTACATTCTGAGTGTGTGGAAAGTGCAGAGTACGAGCAGATGTCCTCACACCCACACTGCTGACTGACCATGCAGCTGCTACAAAAGCAGAAGCCCCCTTCCTCCTGCAGTCTCCTTCCAACGCCCTCTGCGGAGAACACCTAACATTGTGTTGACTGCAAAGGAGAGATGCTCAAAGAAATTTCTTTCATTATCACAGAGTATGTGTTAAAGGGTGAATTTGGAGCTGAAAGTCAATAAACTGGCACAGTGTCCCTAGACTCAACTGCCATCATTGCCCTTTCAAAGTCCCAGCTACTGGTCTGTAAGTGTTGGGTTACATAGGAAGACATACAGGATAAGTGTCAGGAAATCAAGGATTGGCCTAAAACAGCACAGAGACACAAAGGAAGACCACACAGTGGGAAGACAGCTGGCTTTCCTACTGGTCCATTTGCAGCAATTACTCATTCAAGGAGCGATATACTACAGCAACCACCTAGCGATAGGTCAAGTCCATCGCCTTCCGTCTCTGGCAGCATCTTTCTAAAGCAAACGTCACAACCTTTCATCAGACTCACTTTCTCCGAACAGAGCATTTCCTATGTTATACATATACCCACCTGGGCTAAACAGTCCACACAACCCTTGAAACAACACTGAAAAGTGAAGTGTAGAGTAGTGGAGGGGACTGCTCCCATTGCTACTGATGCTCTCAAACTTGTCAGTCAAGGGTCATCCTGTAATGATCTCTAACAACTTGATTTTTTTTTCTTCAAAAAGTATGTGGAAATTTTTATAGGTCTGTATCATTTTTAATGGTGATGTTTTGTTTCATTTTATGGGGGTACCATAATTTACTCAATCTCTTATTCGTGTATCTTCAGGTTGTTTACAATTTTTTTTTATTATTGTAAATATTCTGGGAGCATGTTCCCTTCTGAAATCATCTTTTCCCTCTTGTACAATTACACCCTAAATATAAATTTTGTGAAGTGGAATTATTAGCTCAAGACGATGCACATTATACCCTTTGATACATGTAGATAAAACCCTCTCCAGAAATGTTGCACCTGTATTTTTTCCCCACTAATTGCTAGTTTTTCCACTCCATTATTGGCATTGAGTTATATTGATCTTTCACTGTTGCTTGCCTGAATTGGTAAGAAAGCAACACTTCAGGAATGGTTTTATTTGCATTTGAATGCCTGTTCCATGTACAAACCATAACTAGTAGGAAATTCTAATGTAAGAAAAAGTAGAAATAAAACATGGTACAAATAAGTTTCCATTATTTCTTATGGGGAAATTCGTTTTTTTTTTTTTTCCAACGTTTATTTATTTTTGGGACAGAGAGAGACAGAGCATGAACGGGGGAAGGTCAGAGAGAGAGGGAGACACAGAATCGGAAACAGGCTCCAGGCTCTGAGCCATCAGCCCAGAGCCCGACGCGGGGCTCGAACTCACGGACCGCGAGATCGTGACCTGGCTGAAGTCGGACGCTTAACCGACTGCGCCACCCAGGCGCCCCTGGGGAAATTCGTTTTGATATACAAGTGCTTTGAAACACAAACATGTTTCCAGAACAAATTATGCTCACAAACCAAGGTTTTACTGTATACCTCCTCCTCCCAAACCCATCTATAGTCCCAAACTAAACCACAATTGTGGAAGGGACTTGACCAAACTAGCACCTTCTAAAACCCCATTATTAAACAAGACTATTGAGAAGTGCTGGGGCCAGCTTCTGACAATAAACAGCCTTGCCCTTCTGTAAGTTGTTAGTCACGTCAGTAAATATTAGTTTTACTGAATTAACTTTATTAAGACTATTTGTAGGACACCTGGTCTATTTCTCACTGCACTTAAGTGGTAAGCTGACAAACTTTTCTCATCGTTACACATTACAGAGTTTCCCTGCTGCACGGGATTTCTGATGTCTATAGATTGCACTTTTGGAAGGCTTTACCACATGCATGTTATCTGGGCCACTTTTTTTTTTTTATTTAAAAAAATTGTTTTAATGTTTATTTATTCTTGAGAGAGAGAGTGGGGGAGGGGCAGAGAGTGAGGGAGACACAGAACCGAAGCAGGCTCCAGACTCTGAGCTGTCAGCACAGAGCCTGATGCGAGGCTCAAACCCATGAACCATGAGATCATGACCTGAGCCCAAGATGGACGCTCAACTGACTTGAGCCGCCCAGGCACCCCTGGAACATTTCTTTTTTATGTACATACCAATGAATGAAGATTCTCACTGAAGTCCTATCCACACCATTTTAGATGGCTGCACTGCCACATATGGCCATAAAGATTTAAAAGTTTCAAACTCTGAATTATGAAGTTGCTTTCTTATGCGAACTCCAATGACTATAAAATATGTTGCTGTTAAATCTCCCTGTCATAGTCAGTATAGCCTGGGCAATACTAGCAACAAATACACTGTCAAAATGTCAGTACTATAACACAATGAATGTTTATTTATGGGGCGCCTGGGTGGCTCAGTAGGTTAAGCGTCTGACTTCGGCTTAGGTCACGATCTTGCAGTCTGTGAGCACGAGCCCCACGTCAGGCTCTCTGCTGACAGCTCAGAGCCTGGAGCCCGCTTTGGATTCTGTGTCTCCTTCTCTCTCTGCCCCTCCCCCACTCACACTCTGTCTGTCTCTCTCTCAAAAATAATCATTAAAAATTTTTTTAAATAAAAGAAAAATGTCTATTAAAAAAAAAAAAAAGGCCTAACAGATCAGATAGCCACCTTCCACCAATCCAGCCTGGAACAGCCTCTAGGAAACATTTCTAGGAAAGATGCCTGGAGGACATCACAAGATGTCTGTAAGGGTCAGGCCTGGAAGTAGCTTACATCACTTTTGCTCGTACTCTGTTGCTTGGAACTGTATCACATGGACGAGCTCTCAACTGCAAGGGTTTCTGGGAAATGAAGTCTCTTTACGTGACCAAGAAATGGAGCCAGCAAGGTGAACACACAGCCCATGCCCATAAAATATCACTTCTAGAGAGCCCCTCTCTGTGTAGAAAACCTTATGGGTTTGGAAACCTGAGAATATGGACTAATATTCTCACCACACGAATAACAATAACATGGGTTTCATTTCTGAGCACTCATTTTGAGTATCTTTCTAGCAGGTACACTCTTTAAAAAATCTACAGATTTTGGCTGGCCTGAAAGCCTCAGTGTACTCATCTCAATTATAATTTCCTTCCTGGGCATATCCACTCATGGAAATCTGATCTCTAATTATTGTCATTGCCACAAACCATCCGTCTGTCAGTTATCACTTACTTTGCCACTGCAGCATGCGACAGTTGATGGGAGTCTTGCAGACATTGTTGAGATCCAGAGTAGTTCTCTGGAATGCTCTTATGAACCCCTGCTTCTGTGCCTCAAGACATCATGGGTGACAGTGTCCTTGCCCTTTGCTGCCCCAGCCCTCCCAATGACCGAGTAAGCTTCTATCACCTTCAGTGCATGGACTTTCTTGGTTTCCTGATTGAACCCTGACTAACTACATTGAGAATGTTTCCGTCCTCTTGTGCAGTCTTTGATGAGTAAGAAGGTCTGAGATGTAACGAAAGCCCTGGCCATCCTCACGATACACATAGTGTATCTCATCCGTATGCACTCTCTGGTGAGCAAGAAGGTATGAGTTACGACTGAAGCCCTTACCACACTCATCACACCTATACGGTTTCTCTCTGGTATGATCTCTTTGATGTAAGTGAAAATATGAGCTGTAACTGAAGCCCTTACCGCACACGTCACATGTATAAGGCTTTTCTCCTGTGTGAACTCTCTGATGAGTGTGAAGAACTGAACTGTAGGCAAAAGCCTTTCTGCACACGTTGCATGTGTAGGGCTTCTCCCCTGTGTGGACTCTCTGGTGAATGTGAAGGTGTGTGCTTTGGCTGAAGCCCTTTCCACACTCGCCACACCGGTAAGGCTTCTCCCCCGTGTGCAGCCTCCGGTGGACTTGAAGAACAGAGCTTGAACTGAAGCATTTGCCACACTCACTGCATTTGTAGGGCTTCTCGCCAGTGTGGACTCTCTGGTGGACAAGAAGATTGGAGCTCTGATCAAAGCCCTTCCCACACTCCTCACATTTGTAGGGCTTTTCCCCTGTGTGCACTCCCTGATGAATACAAAGAAGGGACCTAAATCCGAACCCCTTCCCACACACATCACATCTGTAGGGCATCTCCCCCGTGTGGACTCGGTGATGGTTGTGAAGAGAGGAGTTGCGCCTGAAGACCTTGCCACATTCAGGACATTTATAGGGTTTGTCTCCCGAGGGGCCCTTCTGGTATCTGGGAGGGTCTGCGCTCTGCTTGCAGCCCTCAGCCCACTTTTGATATTCATAAGCTTTGTCCTCTGAATGAGTTTTATAATGAACAGCAAGATCTGAGCTCTGACTGAAGTCCTTTCCACACTGGTCCCATCTACAAGACTGTTCTCCTACGTGAGTGCTGGGATGGACAAGAGGGTCTGCAACATCTATGTGTCCCACCTCATAGTGATTACATTCGACAGGTTGTGGTACCACAGGGACTACGTTATGGACTGTTGACTTCACTGCCAAGTGCTTCCCACAGTCAGTGTATCTACAGGGATCTTCTTCTTTACATTCCTGGGAATCACCATGACCCCGTGATGTCTGACTGATGTGGTCATCACCCTGAGCGCATCCATACAGTGTCTGTTCCACGTGAATTTTCTCATATTGTCCTTGAGAATTCTGGCGCTCAGTCATGCGGGCTTCCTTCCAAGACTCGGGTGTAAGGACTTGTGTCGGGTCTTTCCACGCTGTGCCATCTTGATTTTCTAAATTAATGGCCTTTAGGGGCGCCTGGGTGGCGCAGTCGGTTAAGCGTCCGACTTCAGCCAGGTCACGATCTCGCGGTCCGTGAGTTCGAGCCCCGCGTCGGGCTCTGGGCTGATGGCTCAGAGCCTGGAGCCTGTTTCCGATTCTGTGTCTCCCTCTCTCTCTGCCCCTCCCCCGTTCATGCTCTGTCTCTCTCTGTCCCAAAAATAAATAAAAACGTTGAAAAAAAAATTTTTTAAATTAATGGCCTTTATTACATACTTCTCACTTCCAGAAATCTGAAGAGACACTCCCGCCCATTCTTCAGAGAGGAAAACATCTCCTTCTAAATACTGGGGACAATTACCTTGAACAGTCATGATACACTCCTGACTCCCAGTTAATTCACTGATCCTTTGTTTCCAAATCGGCCAGCGGTAGAGCCCTTCTGGCGAGAGATAACTCAACCCTTTTCCCTGAAGATGTGAAATGTTGTCTTTAATCCTGTCTCCTATGAGGAGAAAAGAGAATTTGGCGAAGAGAACAAGTAAGTCATCCCTCCAGAGGTTTTCAGAAATGAAGTAGGATGGGGTGGGAAGTTGTCACTGGATTCTATTCATAGAGGAAACAGAACCACAGTAAGTCTAATCTGTGAACTGCCAGTTAAAAATCAGATGTTGCAGGGAAACCAAAAGAAATCTTGGGAACAATTTATAGAGAAAGAAATTCACCTCCCTGCTATAAGAGCAGCTGATAAGACACCTTTAATCACTTGGCTACAAAAGGTACGGGGGAGCCTTCCCATATGATTCATGTTCTTTGTGTGTGTATGTGTGTACGTCATAATAATGGAGTGCTAGACATGGTGACAGACATAAACGATCACAAAGACCTTCCAAGATACTATATAAAGTTGAAGAAACAAACAAGTCCTGTCTCCTGCTAATGTCCCTTCCTTCACATCACTGTCACAGGAGGTGGGATTATCATGTATGTTTCTATACCACCTGTACAACTGTGTGTGGTGGATCTAAAACAACAATGGGGATTGAGATGGAGATAATATTATGAAATAAAGTTCTTGGGGGAGGTGGGGGAGGCACATGTACACCTTTGAGGCAGGCTTAAAGAGACAACAGTTTCTCTGAGATTCTCTAGATTCCATGAAGAGATAAAGTCCACCAAGATCCTGTAATCCAGCCAGTGATATTTTTTCTTTTCTCTTTTCTTTTCTTTTCTTTTCTTTTCTTTTCTTTTCTTTTCTTTTCTTTTCTTTTCTCTTCTCTTCTCTTCTCTTCTCTTCTCTTCTCTTCTCTTCTCTTCTCTTCTCTTCTCTTCTCTTCTCTGGTAACTAATCTCTATTCCCAATGTGGGGCTTGAATTTATGACCTTGAGATCAAGAGTCACATGCTCTAAGATCCTGTCATCCACTTCCTTAATATCTCCTCTTTAGATTATCTAAACTGCAGAAAATCAAATAGCCATCACTATGAGAATGGACAATTGGAACTGTCAACGGTCTGGCCCCCAGGGAAGCAAGATTGTACTAAAGGGCCATAAAACAAAGGGAGATGAGGTAGAAAAAGGTGGTCATACCCTTGGCACCCTAAAATGGGCTTCAGAATGGCATGAACACCATGATCAAGACCATCTGGACACTGCTTCTGGTTCGATGTCATTTCTGAGTCATTTTACTGAGTGACTTTAATTTGGAAGGTGGTGTCAGAGAAAGGGGGACTTTGAGCTGCCCACCACAAGCTTACAGCAGCAGTCTGCCAGTTGTTTTGACTGTATCCACATTAAGAAACGCATTTACACTGCAACCTAGTACACACAAATAGACACAGACTGTTAACTAAAACAGCTTTATCACCTGATACTTACCTCACTAGGTGAAATGTACTCTGATAAATTCTGTTGTGTTCTAGTCCACGAATCCGTCTTGCTTTTTAAAAACTGCTGATTATGATAGAGTAACTTGATTTCAGACTTACCGACAGTGCTGAATCCTGTATATTGGGCCTACGTCTATAATCTACAGACACAGTGGTACCTCGTTTCATGTGGTTATTAAAAACACAGGGTCTAAACCCAGATTAGGAGGGTTCAAATCATAGCTCTTACAAACTGTGTGATCATGGGCAAGTTATTTAACTACTCCATGCCTCAGTTGTTGCTTTGGTAAAAGGAGGCAAGAACAGCAACTATCTCATAAACTAAACCAAGGTAATATGTGAGCCTCTGAGAAATTAAAAGTAGATATTCATCAATAAGAAAGCAAACAAGCTGACCCTTATATCACACTCACTACATACCGGATCCTGGTTTAGTTCCTTTCACACTCCTTTGCCCAAAATATTGCAAGGGACCGAGGCCCATGGTAGTGTGTGAACTTCATCAAGAAACAGGAGAAAAGAATGACAGCCTACAACGAGAGGAGGTCAGGGTAGGCTCGCTAACTGTGTAGGATGCCCACGGGCCAGCGGGTGCAGGCCTTGAGAGCTTCCTCACCAACACTTCCACAAGGGGCCACCAACTCACATCTATCTGCTAACACTCACTGACTTCAGGTGTCTTGTCTGCACATCCCTCAGGTTTTCTCTCCAGTGGCCAAAGCTTCCCTTTGTGCTCCAACTGGAATACTCTCTCTGCTGTGAAGCTGATTATTTGAGGAAACAGGACCAGTGGTTTGCTGCTTGGTTACAGAGGGTTGTTGTCCTCACCCACTGAGACAATGTTCCTAAAATTCTCCAGCATCACATCCTGGTACAGGTGTATCTGCGCCTTGTCCAATAGCACCAACTCTTCCTCAGTGAAGACCACAGCCACATCCTTGAAGGTCACAGTTTCCTAAAACATCAAGCACACACCATATTGATGACCCACAAATGACCACTGGCAGAAGAGCACAACCGGAAGCTGTGCCAGTCCTTAGGTTATTGTCTTTCTGCTCCAAACTCTGGTGTTGAAACCACACACTTTGTAATGCTAGAGCTGAGATTCTGCAAATCACACTTTGAATTTGGCAAGTGGCTCCATGTGAGGCTCAGACACTAGGGGGCGCAAGAGGGATTTTGTAAGGCTAAAAGAGAAAGGGACTTCACTTGCTCCTGCCTGTTTGCTTCCTGTTCCGGTATCACCTCTCTCATGCTCCCTTCTGCCGGTGACAGCAGTCCCTTTCCGCAGGGATGGCTGAAGCCACTTTGCAGTTTTCCCAACACTTACAGAACCAGTTTCATTGTTCCCCACGTCACAGACACCAGTCCAGCCAGCCGGTGTCCCCTCATCAGAAATCTGGGTCCGTGACCGGTGGACTTCTTCTCTGAGCTCAGAGATACCAGCCAGTCAGCCCCGCCTCCTCACAATTTTGTGTTTCAGTGCCACAAGGCCCCTCCTCCGAGTTTCTAAGTTCCAATAATTCAATCTCTCCCTTGTGTCCCCTCAGCCTGGTTGGCAGTTTTTATGCAGCTGTTACTTCTGTGATACTGTAGAGTTCTCTCTTCACCCCTTCAGTTACCTGGTTAACAACTCCCATACCTAGTGAACAATTCTTTCTATTAAATTCTTCCTGTTCAAATAGCTAGTGTCCCTGAACAGGCCCCTCCTAGTACAAAAGAAATGAGAAACACAGAAGAAATTCAAAGTTTTAGGTAGGCCAAGTGTCGCTTCCATCCTCCACATTGCCTGTGTCCCCCTGTTAACCATCCAGGGTCGCACAAAGAATGTTAAACATCCACGAACATCTGTCTTTGAGTGCTTATACAAGCGTTTCTATAACATAAATTCCTAGACAAGAGACCACTGAGTTACTTGGGCAAGCATACTCTACACTTTGATATTATCCAAAATGTCCTCCAAAAAGGTTGTGCTGATACACTGGCCTAGCAGCATCTAGGTGTTCATTCCCCCTCATAAACCAAGACTTGGCATTTTATTTTCTCTGCCATGGCAGATACATCTATTTCTAATGGACTAAGCAGACAAGGCAACCAAAAGCATTTGCTGCCAGATTAAGGGGGGAAAAAAAAAACATAAAAAGGAAATTATTGGGACAATTGGGAGCATTTGGGTATCAGCTAACTACTAAAAAATAATAGAATCAGTAGTGGAATTACTGGATCATATGGTGGTTCTATTTTTAATTTTATGAGGAAACTCCATAATGTTTTCCACAGTGGATGCACCATTTTTCATTCCCACCAAGAGTACACAAGGGTTCCTTTTTCTCCACATCCTGGTCAACACTTGTTATTTCTTTTTTTTTATTTTAGCCATTCTGACATGTGTGAGGTGACATCTCATCGTAGTTTTGATTTGCATTTCCCTGATGATGAATGGTGTTGAGCATCTTTTCACATGTCTGTTCGCCCCTTTATCTTCTTTGGAAAAATGTCTATTCCTAGGGTGCCTGGTTGGCTCGGTTGGTCAAGTGTCCAACTTCAGCTCAGGTCATGATCTCACTGTTTATGAGTCTGAGCCCCACATCGGACTCTGTGCTAACATCGCAGAGCCTGGAGCCTACTTCAGATTCTGTGTGTGTCTCTCCCTGCCTCTCCCTGCTCTCTCTCTCTCTCTCAAAAATAATAAATAAACATTTTTTAAAAATGTCTATTCCTATCTGCTACCCATTTTTCAATTGGATTATTTGGGTCTTTTTGATCTTTTTGGCCTAAGTTCTTTATATATTTTGGATATTAACCGCTTATCAGATATATCATTTGCAAATATCTTTTCCCATTCATTAGGTTGCCTTTTTTATTTTGTTGATGGTTTCCTTCTCTGTGCAAAAGCTTTTTATTTTGGTGTAGTCCAAACAGTTTAATTTTGCTTTTGTTTTCCTTCCCAGAGGAGACATATCCAGAAAAATGTTTCTATGGCCAATGTCAAAGAAATCACTGCTTATGTTTTCTTCTAAGAATTTTATGGCTTCAGGTCTCACATTTAGGTCTTTAATCCATTTTGAGTTTATTTTTATGCACAGTATTTACCCAAAGGAAACAAAAACACTAATTCAAAAAGATATACACACTCCTATGTTCATTGCAACATTATCTGCAATAGCCAAGATAAGGAAGCAACCCAAGTGCCCATCAATAGATGAATGGATAAAGATGTGGTATACACACACAGAGATACACACACACACACACACACACACACACACACACACACACACAC